ACACACACACACACACACACACACACACACACACACACACAGGGCATCGATGCGGGATCGTTTTAAGAGGCGGCAAGGAGAAACTTTGAACGGCTTTTGAGATTTCAACAAATCCTCGGTTGATGCCCACAATTTCCATGGCTCTGCAAGGCGGTCGTTCAGCGAGTCACACCCGATAGCATGATTTTTTTTCTCTCTCTTTTTTTGCCGGGGTCGTCCAGTCGCTAAGCGAATCAGAGTCCCCCCCGTTGGCTTCATTTGCCGGAAGCTGGCCGGGAAGCTCCTTTTTCTCAGTGCTGTCACAGCTCTGGTCACTAAACGGATTGTTCTAAGTCGAGGACCGCCTGTCACGTGCCCGATGAATCAGGAGGGGCTTCAGCTTGTGAAATCTCTGCTTCTCCACTCAAGTTTCCGAGCGAGCTTTTAACAGGCCGCAAGCAGAAGAAACTTGGGGAGTTTTTCCCCCCCAGCTTTGCGAAGGGAAACGGAGTTTGGTGCCACGTGACTGACAGCCGCCGTCATTGTGGTGGAAGATGCTGGAAGGCCACCTGTGGAGATTTTCTGCAGCTGGGGAAGATTAGCCTCTGCCGCCAGACCAAAGCCATTAACTCCTTCCAATAGGCCATCACTTCCGCTAGCAAAGCCGGCAGATGAGTTATCGATTGGAAATGACCCCAGCGAAGCCCCCCCGTCTCCTCCGCAGCCTGAGAAGAGTGCAGATCAGCCCAACGCCACCGACAGACCGCCGGGGCGTTTCCCCCAAGCAGCTGCCTCGCACCCGGAGCCTCATCGGCGCTGGAGGGGATCCGGACGGTTGCGCCAGAAGCTGGCAATCCAAATAGATGTTATTCTCTATATACTGTTTCCATCTTCCCTTAAAATAGGCAAAGAACCAGAGGTGGGTTCCTACCGCTTTGGCCCATCTGGTGCTCTGGGTCTCTGGAACCGGCAGCGACCCAGGCCTGCCACGCCCCCCCCCGAACCGGCTCTCCTACAGCCGCGCCATCTTGATTTTGGGTTCTGCGCATGTGCAGAACAATTTTCATTGCAGAAATGCAATTCCCCCCCCCCTTTTAAATGTTTTGCGCCTGTGCAGAGCTTTGTAGGTGCAAATGTGGATGCGCCCACTGTCACCTGTCACCTGTCTTCTCAATTCTGGTTTTGTTATTGTTGTCGTTAGTTAATTTTATAAATAACTCAAGGCGGTGATCAGCCTTAATGATCCTTCCTCCTGCTATCTTCCCCACAACAACCTTGTGGGGCGGGTTGGAATGAGAGATTGTGGGGGAGGACTGGGCCAAAGTCACCCAGCTGGCTTCCATGGCTAAGGCAGGATTAGAACTCACTGTTACCCAGTGATTGGCCCAAAGTAACTCAAATGGTTTTCACGCCCAAGGCTGGCAGGCAGGCAGGCAGGCAGGCAGGCAGATAAATAGATGGATGGATGGATAGATGGATGGATGGATGGATGGGTGGATGGATGGAGGTATATATATATAGATAGGTGCAGGTATAGAGATGCATTGGACACAAGCATTTTGACATTTCTGCAAGCAGCATTTCCCTTTGTATCCTCTTTACCTTGAATTTAGATTTTCAGCACTGAATCCGCAGGGGAGGTCAAAAGCACTGCAGCAAAATATCAACAAGAATGACGACAACAAAAATCGGATAAAAGGATTTTGGAGGGGGGGGAAAGCAAATGCAGAGAGGGAGAAAAAAACTCCCCCAGATTTCACAGCAATTAAGCCAAAGACAAAGCGAGGCTGTTAATGCCTGGTGATTAAAGGGAAAATGCTAATTTTTTTCCTCCTTCGCTAAGGCTCTTACAGGTAGAAAGAGGATCTCGGTTTGGGTGAAATCCAACTGCGGCGCTATTGTGTATTTTTTTTTTCTTTGCACACACATAGACAAAATTGCCAATTCTAAGCAAAATACAGGATGTCCCTCAGGTGCCCCGGGAATTCAGCAATATGTGATGGGTGAGGAAATGAAACTGCCCCAAACAGAGAGAAGAGAGGAACATTACAAGGGGTGTCACTCATCAGAGCTGTGAAATAATGTCAGAAATATTTTAATGATAAGGTCTTGGTTGCATAAGAAGACTTGCTTTTCGGCAGCTCGGCAATTGAGAAGCGTAACAAGACACGGGTCGAGAACATTCCCAGTTGTGACCCAGAGGACGAGAGCTGGGAAGAAATTAGCAGAATGAGTTGCTTTTGGGCCACTTGATTGCCATTAATCCTCAGCCAGGCTGACCTTGTCGGGGAGCCGATGATATTCTTTCAGCCTGTATGCCAAACCGAAGGGAGAGAAGGAAAGGGGGGGAGAGAAATATAATTATGAATTTACAGGTAACGGCAAAAAAATAATAATGAGGCAATTAAGCGATGTGAAACGACAATAAACACAAGATGCATTTATTAAGAGGGGTTTCGTTCCTGCGTTTTTGTCTTTGACAATGCTGCTAAACACACAATTGTTTTGTATCTGTCGGGCTTTTCTGTCTGTCTGTCCATCTATCCATTCTATATCTATCTGCTCATTCTGTATATTTATCAATCAATCAATCAATCAATCAATCAATCAATCAATCTATCCATCCATCCATCCATCCATCCATCCATCCATCCATCCATCCATCCTCTATCTATCATCTATTTATCTATCATTATCTATCTCTCTATATCTATCCATGTATCTATCTATCTATCTATCTATCTATCTATCTATCTATCTATCTATCTATCTATCTA